ATAAGACCAAGTGAGCCTGGAGACCTGGCGATCGATATCCCTCAAAGATGAAGACGCTAATAACTTTATCCCCCCTTGTCCTCCAACTCTAGCCTACATTAGCTCTGACCACAGGCCCCAGGCAGCTGGGACCTGCCGTGGGCGGGCCTGGAACTGAGTAACCCCTTCAGATCCAGGTGGGAAGCATGAGGGTAGACTGTCAGAAGGAATTCTTGGCACTCAGGAATGGGAGGCCACCGGGACGAGGGATACGCCTTGGAAGCATGTTTCCCACGCCCAGGACCATATCCTTGGAGACCTCAGAGACAGATCTATGAGGATTTGTAACCTCAGAAGTGTCCTTCGGGGCACAAAGGTCCCTGTCCAATCCCTGAGGGCTGCCCAGAAGAGGTGAACTGAGAGAGAAATTCTCACTAGGGAAAATCAGGGAGTAGAAGAAGAATAAATGGGGGTCAGAGGGCAGGGGAGGCTAGAGGCTCTTCCTGCATTAGGGTCTTCTGGCTCAGCAAAGGGACGTGGAGCCCACGGGAAACCCCTTCCTCACCTCATGCTCTCTGCAGCCCCAGGTCCCCTGCAGCGAGAGGGAGTGGTTGAGATCAGGGAATAAGAGCTTTCCTTCTGCAAACACTATCCCTTCACAGCATACAGCCTGCCTCACTCACATGCCAGGGCTAGGGCCCGCGCTAGCAGGATAAAAAGGAGGCGGGAGAATAGTGAGGGAAAGAAGGAGTGGAAAAGAGTGTTTTTACACAGCAGCCACTAAGGCCAGGCCTCCAGGGAGCGCTTTCCACATGGGACTTGTTTAAACCTCAAAACAATCCTGTGAGGTTCCTGCTATTATTACCCTCATTTTGCAAAGGAGAACACCAAAGCACAGAAAGGTTGAGCAACCGGCCCAATGTCACACAGGTGGCAAGTGGCACAAGCAGACTCCAGAGTCTAAAGGCTTAACTACCAGGAAACGCAGCACTTTAAGAAGAGGAAGGGGGGCCGGGCGCAGTGGCTCAAACTTATAATCCTAGCACTTGGGAGGCTGAGGCAGGTGAATCACCTGAGATCAGACTGACCAATGTAGTGAAACCCCGTCTGTACTAAAAATACAAAAAAAAATTAGCTGGATGTGGTGGCGGGTGCCTGTAATCCCAGCTACCTAGGAGGCTGAGGCAGGAGAATCGCTAGAACCTGCGGGGCGGGGGGCGGAGGTTGCAGTGAGCCAAGATTGCACCATTGCACTCCAGCCTGGGCAAAAGAGTGAAACTCCATCTCAGAAAAGAAAAAAAAAGAAAAAGAAAAAAGGGAAGAAAAGAGGAGGAGGAGGAGGAGGAGGAGGAGGAGGAAGGGGGGGCCCAGTTCAGTGGGAGGTGGGCCCAAGAGCCTGTGGTCCCCAGGACTGGGCTGGAAGCAAGGCTCATAGGAAGCACATGGCCTCTGGAGCTCTGCTTCTGTGGCTCTCGGGTTCTGTCCTGTGCCTCAGGCTCTCTGCCCTCCTCTCTGTTCCCTGCACATGCAGGGCTTGAGCGTCTGCAGGGATCTGGGCTGCCTCTCCTCTCCGCCCCTCCTTGCCCCTGGTGGGCTCCTCCTGCAGCTCTGGCCTGTCTTGCCTATCTCTCCCGGCTCCAGATCTCCCTCCTGTCACCACCCCAGAGCCACTGCTGCTCAAAATTCCCATCTTAGCACAGGAGTCCATCAGCGCTGGAGTGGGAGACAGAGGGATCAGTCCGGGAGGGTACAGCTGCTTAGAGCAATAGGGCCACCTAACTCCCCAGCATCCAAGGAGTGCCAGAGTGGCCTGGTGGTTCAGCAAGCAGTGGGTTGAAAGTCTGGATTCCTAGGTCCTGGCTCCTACCAGAAGAATCCCCCTCCACTAGCCCCGCTGGGCAGCTTGTCCAGTGCTGCTTCAGGAATTTGGCAAGACAGGCTCTCTCCAGCAGGTACTTAGAAAGGGCAGGGCCTCTACAGAGTCTCTGTGAGGCTCCAGACTGCAGTCTGGAATCTCTCTAGGCTCTCTCTTCAGCCTGGAGATCCAAGGGGGCATGGCCAGCACACTCTCCACAAGGCTGTCCCAGCACTCTGCCTGTCCTTTTCCTGGAAACCCGGACAGATGCTGGCTCTCTTGTCAGGAATCCAGCCCCCGTGGGAGCAGGGCAGGGAGGAGCCAGAGGTTCCTTAGGAAGGCTCAGGGGGTTGAGGGTGGCCTGCACGCCCCGGATCCTTTAGAGACCCCATCCCAGTGCTGGCAGCCACCGGGAAGCCCCATTGGCCTCTGTATCACAGAGTCTTTCCTTGCAGAGTAGGTGAGGAGAGGCTGGCAGAGGCTTGCTTAAACGTTCCAGCTTCTTTCTTCAGTGCTGGGTGTTCCTGAGGTGTGCACCATCCTTTCTGAGCCTGTCTGTCAACCAAGACAGCCCTCTCTGAGAAGGAAGGGACCTGAGCCAGGTTGGGGGGAACCCAAATGTTCGATCTTTACGGCCTCAGGTTGTTGTCCTGGTCTCAGACCCCCAAGGGGTCCGTGGGGCCGCATTCCATTGATCCCCCAGCAGCTATCCATCTCAGCCGGTGCTCAGCCCCTGGGGTATGTCGGGGCGGGGGCAGCTAATGGACTTGGCACAGCCAGGAGGTAATTAACAGGGAGGGGGCAAGGGCCACAGAGGGGTGGAGGGGGCACTGTTAATGACAGCGGAATCCAACAGCTATGAGTGACTGGCGAGGGGCTCGTTTGTGTGTGTGTGTGTGTGTGCACGTCTGTGTATGTGTGCGCGTGTGCACGTCTATGTGTGTACACATGTGCACGTGTCTGTGTATCTGTGTGCACATGTGCGTGTCTGTGTATGTGTGTGCGTCTGTGTGTGTGTGCATGTGTGCGTGTGTCTGCCACGTGTGTGCGTGTCTGTGTGTGCGCGTGTGTGCATGTGTCTGTGTATGTGTGTGAATGTGTGTGCGTGTGTCCGTGTTTGCACATGCATGTCTAGGCTGGGTGGGGGTAGGCCAGGTTTCCTGTTGATGTGCACACTGTGTGTCCATCAGTGAAGGGGAGAGAATGGGGTGCTTTCAGGGGAGAGAAATATGGGTGCAAGCCCCCTCCTCACCCATCAAGACAAAGCCCCACATCCAGATCGCCTGAAAGGATCGGAGTGCAAGGTTTCAGCCCCTGCTCCCAGATCCAATGAAAACTATCCAGTTCCCTCTCCCATGCTCTCCGGAATCTCCCTTCCCGGTCCAAACCTTATTCCCAGAATCCCTCACCTTACCTGCCTCCCCACACCTGAGGCCTGATAACCTTCAGAATGGTTCACCTGCCCTGGCAGCTCCCTAGTGCTACCTGACTCCAAACCAGCTCTTTAGTGATGCCCCAGTCCGGCTCCATATGGGGCAAACCTCAGGTCCCCTCCTGTTTCTACCCACAGAGCCTCCAAGTCTAGATGTCCCATCCTCTCCCAGCCCCTGCATAGAGGCTCAAAGGGCAGAGGTGAGGGGACAGGTGAAGTAAAACCCCCTGTGGAGTCCATGATGTCCTCCCAAACCTTCTACGACTGAGCCACTGGCCTACCTGTGTCTGTTGGCAACACTGGTCTCACCCTCTCTCCATGTGGTGTCTGCTATGTCTGTGTGTCTGTCTCCATCTTTCTATCTGCATGTCTCAGTCCTGTGTCTCCCTCTGCAGTCTCTCTTCCTGTAGCCATGTCTGTACATCGTGTCCCTGCCTCTGTCTGCACTGTCGCTCTGTTTGCATCCACCCCTGGGCTCACCTGTTGGATCCGATCCCCCTACTCTGCACCCCTCACCATGTTCCCAAGCCCTTTCCTCCCGATGGCTCCACCTGCTTTAAGCGCCCTCCCTCATGGGGTGATTCGGCACCAGCCCCACCCATACTGGGCAAGAGAGGAAGGCCTGTGAACTTGGCCCTTAGGGACCAACCACACACACACACACACACACACACACACACACACACACACCCGAATCCCCCTATCGATCAGCCTGCAGCCCTGGGTCAGTTCTCCATTAGCACTAACCAGCCTGGACAAGAGGCAGACACACCACCGGGCTAGGCCTAGGGGTGATAAGACACAGATTGAATCATGGGGTTGGGGGTGGGGTGGGCCTGGCACCCAGGGACATGAGACAGCCGTGTGATTAGCCCTGAGGAGCCATGGCAAGCTTGCATTATTGCAGGAGCTGGGCAGGTGATTGGATGTGATAGTGCTGAGGATGGCGGGGAAGCCGCTCCTCCCTGGCTCTGGGTGGAACGCACGTCTTTGGGTTAGGGCAGGTGGGGACAGGGCCCAGGTGCCCTGACATGACGGGGCCCAGGCTCTGTGCTGACAGAGCCTCAGACCACTCGGTTAAGGTCAGTGGTGTCCCGAGGGACAGAGGAGAGGGGAGACCTCACCTACTCCCTTGGAGAGAATGGGACAGGGAGATGGCTTTGTCCTTAGGACAGCCTCTGACCTCCAGATGCTAATCAAAGCACCTAGAGCCAAGAACAGTAACAGAGGGACAGGAACAAGGGGTCCCGCCTCCATCAATCCTTAGTCCAGCTCCCTCCCTGCTCTACACACATACACACACACACACACACACACACACGCACACACGCACGCATACACACACATTCTCTCTCTCATCCACTTGTTCCACTGCATGCTTGCTCTGCTCCAGACACACCAATAGAAGGAAGACACCCCATCAACGCTTCCATCCGGCCCACCATCCCCCACACTGTGGCACCAACCTTCCTGAACGTGAGGCACAAACATCGACAGGGTCTCAAGGTCTGGGACGTCTGACAAGAGGCTGCCTCACCAGCAGCTGAGCCAGGTGACCACGGGACTGGGATCCAAACTATAGTCACACGGTGAGAATGCCAGGTCCATGGAGAAGAGGTAGGCATGTGAGGGAAGCCTGAGTGGGGGAGGACAGCAGAGAGCTGTCCCCCTACCTGAATCCCGATGCCTCCCTCCTGGAACGACGTCATCCCACGAACAGGCAAGAGACACAGCCAAGGGATAATAAATATAATTGCTATGACGGAACCTTGCCTAGAGAAGCAGGAGCATCTTCTACTCCCAGCCCCCACCTGTCCCCTCCCGCATGCTGAGGGTGAGTTAGATGCTTTGAGATCACCCTGGGGCTGCTGGGAGCTATGGAGGATGCTGAGGGCAGGCCCCCATATTCCGGCTAACCACTCCCAGCCCCTGGGCCAGCCCCCTAGCCCAGGACATCCAGGTAGACAGGAGGTGCCTGGGCCAGGGCTTGCAGGCGGGCGTGCACATCCTTGATGCTGTGGCGTTGCTGGGGCTCCCGCTGCCAGCAGCCCCGCATGATGGCGTAGACCTCTGGTGGGCAGGCCCGTGGCCGCTCCAACTCACGTCCCTGCGTGATGCATTCGATCGCCTGGGGCCACAGGAGAGACGGAGGAGAAAGCACACTAGGCGGGGGGCTGGAGAGTGAGGCCAGCCCCAACGCCCCCACTGAGGTTCCCAGGGCAGCCCACACTGCTCATCTGGGCTTCTTAGCCGGTAATCATCCTGAATGGACACAGTGAACCCCAAGATTTCTTTATGCCCTGACACTGAGAAGTGAGAAGGATTAAGACTCTCCTCTGGGAAGCTCGGGCTAGGGTAGGATTGCCTCCAGAAAACTGGGATCAGATCCTAAGAAGACTTGCCAGGTGGGTTGAGGAAGGGGAGGGGCTGAGGTGCTTATCAAATCCATCCGCTTAGTGTTGGGGGCTGAAAGGAGGAGAAGAGCCCTCTGACTCCCAGCTCCGGAGGGAGAAGAAAATACCACAGACTTGCAGTTAAAGGCTTTGAAAAATAGCTGGCTTTCATTTTAAAGAAGAGGGCAATCCCCACTTCTCCCTTCTCTGGACACCACTCTGTGGGACTAGTTCTCCCGAAAAGAAACTGCAGCAAGAAAAATCAAAGTTAGACTCTAGGAAGAACTGTTAAAGCAGCTAAGGAATCCAAAGAAGGAGAAAGGGTGGCAGGCAGAGGCTGGAGAAGGGGCCTGGAGCCTCCTTTCCCCTTCTCCCTCCCTCCCTGTTAGAGGACTTGGGTTATGGGCGGCACTAATTCCATTTCTTCTCTCAGTGCTTGAGAAAATTAAAATCTATAACCCTCTCCCCCACCCCACCAGCCTCCGGGGAGCAGACTGCATTAGGAGGAGAAATGGAAACTGACAGCTGTGAGCCAAGGAGGGGGTGGGGGCAGCTGCTCTGGGAGGCAGAACACCTGGGGCCTGCTCTGGCAGCGGCCAGCTCGGAGGACAGGGGGAGGGGTAGGGCCGTCGTCTGACAGTCTAACTTCCAGCCATCCTGCTGCAGCGCTGGGCCCTCGTGCTGGGATCCTCTTTGCATGCTGGTCCCTTCCACTCTGATCAAACGCAGCTAAGGACGGGGGTCTGGCTCCGCGTACAAAGCACTTTGAGGTTTCCCCAGGGGTCAGTTGGGGCTGGGCTTAGGACAGTAGGTGCAGGCAAGAATAGGGGAGGAAGAGAAGAATGGGGCCTGGGGTGGAGGGGGCACAGTGTGGGCACAGCGCTGGAAAGGGCCCCCCAACAGGCTGTGGCAGAGGGGCAGAAGGGGGACCAAGTTCCCTGAAAAAGGGACCTGAAGGGGCGTGGAAGGGGGTGGCCAGCTGGCGGTGACCAGGGGCCGGGGCTGACCTCGGTGTTGGAGAGCTGGTACCAGGGCTGCTTGCCATAGGTGAAGATCTCCCAGAGCACCACGCCAAAGCTCCACACGTCGCTCTCGGTGGTGAACTTGCGGTACAGGATGCTCTCGGGCGGCATCCAGCGGATGGGCAGCATGGTGCGGCCTCCCACCTGCCCCGGGGCGGGCGCCGCGTCACCTTCAAGGGCGCCCAGGACCAGGACCGCCCATCATGGCACAGCCCGCCCCAGCCCCATCATTGAAAATAAATAGGTGTGGCTCTCAGGGCTGAGAAGGAACAGCTGAACGTGCTGTGTCCGTCCAGGATAGCAAAGGAGACAGAACCCCCTCCACTGGGGGCCGAGGAGGTAGGTTGAAAACCCGAGCCAGTGAATCTCAGACCCGAGCAGGTGTCCTAGCAAGGGCAGGCTCTCTGTGGGCTCGGGATCCAGGGTGTCTGTAGTTTGGATGCAGGGGGAGGGGTTGAGGATGAAGGACCCTTACACGGTAATAGTCGGTGCTGTAGATATCCCTGCTCATGCCGAAATCGCCAATCTTGACCACCAGTCCCTGGCCCACCAGACAATTGCGCGTGGCCAGGTCCCGGTGTACGAAGTGCAGACCCGCCAGGTACACCATCCCCGCAGCCACCTGACTAGCCACGGCCAGCAGCTGCCCCAGACCCAGGGGGCCTGGAGCCACATCCTCCCCGCCAGCCAGCAGCTTGGCATCAGGCCCATGGGATCTGTGAACAAGTGAAGGAGAGGGGATAGGCTGAGAAGACAGAGCCTTCAGGAGCCTGAGGAAGGTGATCCCCAGTGGCAGGTGTGATGGGAGAGGAGGCTGGGTTCCTGGAAGTGGAGGACGAGGAGAACAGCAGAGGCGGAGGTCCGGAAGGGCAGGATGGAGGAGCGCAACAGGCATGGCCCCCTCCAGAGCTCCCGCCGAAGACAGCCCACAGTTCCCACATCTGTGCCTTCCTCTCTGGCAGCTCCTTGAACTCCAGATGCGCACTGGCCCTTACATCCCTTGCCATAGACACGTCAGACTCAGCTCTTGCCAATCAGAGCTCAGTGTCTTTCCCCAAGCCTCCCCTGCCTCAGGGAAGAGACCCTCCCCACGCGGGCAGACCCTGAAACCAGGGAGTCCTTTATTGTCCTGTCTCTCTCCCCTCTGCCCTCAGTGTCCAGCCATTCATACAGGGTCTTCCTTCCTCTCCACGCTGTCTAGGATGCCCGCCTCCCCCCACAGCGAGCACTCGGGTCAGTCCCCACCATCACCTGTATTCCTCTATGTTCCTTTTTCTGAACCTTTGCCTGAGTTGACCACTTTGCCAGGAATGCCCTTTCCTGCTAGCCAATCTTCTTGTTCGTTTAGTCGAGGCATTTGTTAAACACTTCCAGTGTGCCAAGCACAGGGGCTACGCTGCGGAGTGTGATGCGGATAAGCAGGTCATGGCAGTGCAGTGTGAGAGGCACCTGACGGGCACCATGGGTGGCAATGAAAGAAGCCAGGGAAGGCTCCCTAGAGGAAGGGGCACCTAAACTGAGAGTCAAGTCATGAAGCCACTGGAAGGGAGCTGAGGCAGGGAGGGGTAGAATCTTCGTGTCTGTCTCCATCTTTCTCTGGAGGGAGGGAGGGAGGGCCAGGGCATCAGGCAGAGGGAACTGGAAGTGCAAAGGCCCGGAGGGAAGAAGGAACAGATGGCCCCTCCTAAGGGAAGTCTTCCAGACTCATCTGTAAGCATTAATGATTCCCTCCATGGATTCCCCCAGTGGTCCATCCAGCATCAGAGCCTCATCTCCCACAGCCTGGGTCCCAGATAGTGGTATCTCCCTGGCCTTCGTCCCCAGAACTAGCACTGAGCCTGCGCCATGTCTTGGAGCAAAGAGATAGGCTCCTCCCTGGCGTTCTGCTCCTCTGTGCCGATCTTCCTCCACACTCAACCTTGGGTCTGGCCTCGCCTCCTGCTCTACACCCTGCTCCCTCCTGGTCCACAGGATAAGCTCAAGACTCAGGGATCGCTCCCATCTGAGTCCTGCAGCAGCCTGACTGCATGAATGATCCATCACTCCCAACCACACAGCCGTTGCTCATCCAGATCCACAGCCCCCGCTCACCGTCCCTCTGACTGGTGAGGAAAGTGAGGTCAGAGAGGAAAGTGACTTGGCAAAGAAGGCTCAGCTCATAAGCGGCAGCTGATTCCAAACCCTCTTCTCCCTGCCTTACAAATACTGCCCCATCCTCACGGGAGCGATCTCATCAGGGAAGGACTCCGCCAGGGGAACAGGTGCCCATCGCATAGGGGTTGAGAGTAGGGGCTGTGCCTGCGATCACACCGCCCCTGGACCATTCACTACCTGTATGCACTCGGGCAAGTCTCGGAACCTCTCTAAGGCTTAGTGAAACAGGCACGTTTCTCGAAGCTATTAAAATTATCAGCACAAATAGAGAAACATATCAGAGTTCTTCTGTCCAAAGCCAAAGAAATGAATTTTTTTGTAACTTGCTTCAAGTTTAAATTGCAATATATGCCTGGAGGTCATAAAAAAAAATGCATATCTGTATTACTGTACAAGATATTTTTGTACCAGCACATAGAACCATAATAAGAACGAATTGTAGAGCCAGGTGCAGTGATGTGCACCCGTAGCCCCAGCTGCTGGGGAGACTATGGTGGGAGAATCGCTTGAGCCCAGGGGTCTGAGGCTGCACTCCAGCCTAGGCAAGAGAGCAAGACCCAGCTCTAAAACAATAACAATAATAAATACATTTTTTAAAATAAAAAAAGAATAAATTGTAAAGGATGTAAGGTAGCAACTGAACACAGAAGGTGCCTGATAAGTGCTCGTTACTGTTGTTCCTATCGTCATTATTGAAGCTGCCACCCTTCAGGCCTGGCCTTGCGTGCTGCACACACATGCACATACACCTTCTGCGAAGCCCACTCACCCCAGAGATTTAGCTCATGGCCTTGGCCATCGCAACCCCACTGACTACTGACACTTGTCCTTTGCAAGAGTCACCTCCCATTCGCACATCTGCCTCCTCTATCGTCTCAGAGTTCCTTGGGGACTTGGGGACGGGAATGTGCCTTCCTGATCCTTCTTGGTGCCTCCCCTTGGTTGGAAAGACAAGCAGGGATGTGCTTATCAGGGAGGGATGACAGGGCCAGGTGCCAGTACCGGAGGAAGCGGTTGAGGTCCCCATGCCGCATATACTCAAAGACCATGAGCAGGGGGCGGCCCTCGGTGCAGACGCCGAAGAAGCGCACAATGTGCTGGTGCTGCAGCATGGTGAGCAGCTCGGCCTCGCGCTGGAAGTCCTGCCGGGCGCTCTCCGACACCTCCTTCAGTGCCTGCTTGGAAGGGGCAGGGACAGGACTGGGTGGGGGCCCAGCCCTCACTGCTGTCCATCAGTGACACTCCAGCCACGTCAGCCCTCAGCCTCTGTCCCCACTCCGTCTTGATGTGAGGGAGCTCCTGGGGGTGGGACCCAGGCCAGCGGTGCCTCCTGGGCAGGGTCTCACCTTGACGGCCACCAGCATCTTGTCCTGCTCAGGCAGGAGGTTGTGGCACTCAGCAAGGAAGACCTTCCCAAAGGCGCCCTCGCCCAGCTCCCACTTGAGCACGATGTCCCGGCGCTTGATGTGATGAACACCTGAGGGGCTGGCAGGGTCAGGCGGAGCCCCAGGCTCGGGAGGGCTGGGGTTGTAAGGGGGACTGTCTTGGCCGGGCTGTGTGCCGCACAAGGCTGCCCAGACAAGGGGCTACATGGGGGCTGAAATTCCCCAAACCCCATGTCATAGGGTGGGGCTTCATCTGCCCAGAGAGGACATGGTGCAGAGTAGCTGTGGCTCTGCATGGGGCTGCTACTAAGAGCCAGGCTGAACTCAGCCTGAGAATACGACAGGGGCTATGGCTGGAATAGGGCTGGAAAGGGAGGGATGGTTCAGGCCTCGGTGGGTAAGGGCAGCCTGCGTGTGCGTGCGTACACACACACACACACACATGCACACGCACACACACACACACACACACACTCGCCCCTGCCCTTGACCCAGCATAGCCCCTCACAGGCATCACTGAAGTATTGTGGGTTCTCGATGATGTGGCCTTGGAGCCCAGAGCCTTTGCCCTCAGTGGGGGACAGGGAACTGCCACCCAATGTCATGAAATGCAGGGACATGGCCAGCCCGTCCTCTGGAGCCAGCACAGCCGGGCCTGGGGAGGAGACACAGACATATGGAGAGTTTGCCCACACCTTGGCCCTTCCCACCCTTGCCTGCAGGATGCCTGGTCACCCCCACCTTGTAACTTGCAGAGGAGAGACTGAGGAGCTAGGGAGTGAGATAGCAGGCAGGGGGAAGGGGAGCACCACCGCCTCTCCCTGTGCTGGCTCCTGTCCCACCCCTGGCCCCAGGGGCACCAAAGAACTCCCCCCTCACCCCCACAGAGCCCAGACCTCCCAGACCCACTTAGTGCTTGACTACAATCCAGCCACCAATTAGCAGCTGCCGCCTCTGAAACTACCCCAGCACCAGCCCGACACACACTCCCGCACACACTCACACGCCCTGGAACTCCCGTGTGGACAGCCCCGAGACAGACACACAGTCAGGAAGAGCCCATAGAAACCAAGCCAGGAGAACAGACAGACGGGACAGACAGACGGCCCTCTGCAGCCCCGACTCACGGTTGATTCCAAACTTGTTTCTCCGTCCGCATTTGTTGAGCACAAGGAGCAGCGTGGAAAGGAAGAGGCAGGCAAAGACAGCCAGGCCCACGGCCACCGAGACCTGGTGGCGCACAGGAGACGGGGGCGGCCATTAGACCCAGGGGCTTCTCCTGCACTCTCAGAACCGCCCACCACAAGCCATATCTTTATCCGGCAGGGGAGCTCAGAGCCAGGCCTCCAGACCGGGGTCCCCAGGGACCCGCCTCCCCTCCCCTGGGGACCCCCGCAGTGGCTGTGAGGGTGGCAGGCAGAGCTCAGGCCAGACAGTAGCGATCTCCCGGCTCCAACCAGAAATGCCGCGCGGATGAGCCTCCACCCTGCCTCCCCATCCCAAGGCCTGCACAAGCTTCTACTTCCTATCTCACCCCAAAAGGTGTTTCGTCCTTCTTCTCCACCGGGTCTCCAGATGTGCTGTTAGTGTCTGTGGGGACACAGGGTGGGAAGGGTGGGCCTTGGCACACCCTGTTGCCTCTAGCAACCCCCCAACCTTGCCCCCAGCTGGCCTCTCGGGGATCAGCTCAGTTGTGCCCTCTACCCCGGCCTCGGTGCCAGAGACCAGGCAGAACCTGCCCTCCACCCGGGGCTACTCACCCGCTGGCGAGAAGGAGACTGCAGCAGGAAGGAGGAGAGAAAGCAGTCAGAGGGAGGAGGAAAGCAGTGAGTCCCCTGCCTACTCTGGGGCTCATTCCTTCGTGGGGCGAGGGTAGGATGGAGGTGGGCTGCCTGGCCTCGAGGGAGAAGAGGCATGTGACCCTTTTCCAGCTGGGCCGTGACGCCCTGGCACTGTCTCCTCAGCCAGCCCACAGGGATGGAGGAGCTCAGGAGTTCAGGAGTCCTGGCTCGGGGACAGGGTAAGCTGGACACTGGGACTCCAGACTCCTTTCTGTCCGGAACCAGGCACTCCAACTTCTGGGATCAAGGCCATAGCAGGAAGTTGGCTGTCACCCAAGTGGAGCCCAGGAGTGGGGGCAGGGTTCAGGATGGCCCTCGCACCAGGGATGGGGTCCTCGGGGTTGAACTCGAAAGGGTTGTCCATGAAGGCGGCCATGATGGAGGCGGCGGCCTGGCCCAGGGGGTTGGCGGCCAGCAGCGTGTAGTTGCCGTTGTTGACGTGGGTGGGCTGGTTGAGGCGCAGGCAGCCGTGCCGCACGGTCTCATTGGCCGCCGGCTCCAGGAACTCGGTGAAGATGAAGCTGGTCTCGTTGAGCACCGAGCCGTTGAAGAGCCAGCGCAGAGACGGTGCCGGCTGCCCATCCACCGAGAAGGGGATGCACCAGTGGTGCATCTCCACCGCGTCCTGCAGCTCCACGCTGGCCGGGACTGTGGGCCAGAAAGAGCACCCGGAGGTCAGCGCGGCTGGAGGGAGCCTGGCACAGACCCGACAAGTCCAGGGGCAAAGCCAGTAGAAACAAAACCAAGGGACAGGCCTGAGAGAAGCCAATCAGCAGGCCCTGAGAAATTCACCAAGGAGAGATGTTTTGAAGAAAGTTGACGATACATTTTAAATAAATCAGGCAGCAGGCATGTAAAATGTAGAGGCTTAAAGAACAAGCGGCCGGGTGCGGTGGGTGGGTCATGCCGGTAATCCCAGCACTTTGGGAGGCAGAGGCGGATGGAGCACAAGGTCAGGAGATTGAAACCATCCTGGCTAGCACGGTGAAACCCCGTCTCGACTAAAAATACAAAAAACTAGCCGGGCATGGTGGCACGTGCCTGTAGTCCCAGCTACTGGGAAGGCTGAGGCAGGAGAATCGCTTGAACCCAGGAGGCAGAGGTTGCAATGAACCGAGATCGCGCCACTGCACTCCAGCCCGGGCAACAGAGCGAGACTCCATCTCGAAACAAAAAAGAAAAGAAAAGAAAGTAAGGGGTAGGCCATAAATAAGTCACAGCCCCAGAGAAGTGGGGTACCAGCTTATGACAATTAAACATGGAGTCTTTTGGGGTAAGGAATCTAGAAAAAGTCACTGTAACTAAGCTGAAGATGGGTCAGGGGGCCTAACAATCAAACAAGCAAAAAATATCTACAGTTAAATTTTTTGGAAAAAGCTGGGCACAGTGACTTGCTCCTGTAATCTCAGCTACTCAGGAGGCTGAGGTGGGAGGATCGCTTGAGGCCACGAGTTCAAGTTATGATCCCAAAGCACTCAGGCCTGGGCAACAGGCTGAGACCCCATCTCTTAAAACACACAGATACACACACACACACACACACACACACACACACACACACACACACTTTGAAAAAAGACATGGGTTTAAAATAGACCCAATCTGGTCAAAGCAAAAACCCCTCAATGACAGGAAAAAAAAGTGTATGTCTGTATAAATATATAGATAGATAAATATACATATATATATGGCATTCATACACAGGAATAGTATTTAGCAATGAATTGCATAAACTACATATAGCGACTTTCATTAATGTAGATGAATCTTATAAAATGTTGAGTGAAAGAAACCAGATACAAAATAATACATGCAGTATGATTCCATTTATATAATGTGCAAGAACAGGTAAAACTAAACTATACCGATAGGAAAGCATGTTTGAGAAAAATTGTTTTTAAAAGCAAGGACGTGGTTACCCTGACAAAAGTCAACATGAGATGGGAGAGGGCGATGGGACTGTGACTAGGGTGAGGTGTTGCAGGGGTCTTCCGTGGTGCTGGTAAGAGTAGTTATTGTTTAAGTGTATATATATATATATATATATATATATATATTTTTTTTTTTTTTTTTTTTTTGCACATCTCTATGTATATTTCACAACAAAAGAAGAAAACTGGTATAAAGTAGAAAATTTAAGATAATTTGTTGGCCAACCTAGAGAAATTAGGCAGTGAGCCTAAAGAGGAACCCAGGAGGAGATTTTCCTCTTTTGAAACTAGGATTTGGGGAGAAGGAGCTGAAGAGGGGTGGGCATGAGGAAATACTTTGGAGCAGTGGGACCAGCCAGGCAGCTGGCGTTGAGGGCCTCAGGTAGCAAGGCTTGGGCAGGAGGCCAGAAAGAAATCTATCTCCGTCCCTCTGGCCTTGACGAGCCCCCAGGACTTCCCCCAAAGGATCAGGTTTTCATGGGAATCTGGAAACAGCTGGGAGAGAGCAGCTGTGGAGACACACATCCCATCCTTTCCTCCAGGCCCCCACCCTACATCCTCTTTTGAGGGAAGAAGAGATGAGTGGGTGGGGGGGGGGGTGCAGAGGCTGCCACTGAGACTCACAGGAGACGTTGACCTGAACAGAGACCTCTGCCCGGCCCACATCGTTCTCTGCCCAGCACGTCACATTCTTCCTGTTGAGGTCACGGGTGACATTGGCCAGGGTCAGCTCCAGGGATGGCAGACCCCCAGATTTCTAGATCAGGGAAGAGAGAGGGAAATCAGAAAGAGGTTTAGCCAGCTTGGGGCTGGGGCTGATGTCTTTGGAGAGCCCCTCTGGCTCCGGATGGAAAGGAGAGGAAAACTGGGAGAGAAGAAGAGGGAGAGAGGGGGTGGGAGAGAATGTATCAGAGAATTGGCTTCCTCCTTTAGGTTTGTTAGTTGACTGTCTTCTGGATCAAATTTTTTAATTTTATGTTTTATTTTTGTAGAGACCGAGTCTTGCTGTTCTGCCCAGGCTGATCTTGAACAGGGTCTCAAACGATCCTCCCGCTTCGGCCTCCCAAAGTGCTGGGATTACAGGTGCGAACCACTGCACCCAGCTTGAATCACATATTTAATCATCTGAAAAATCTAAAATATAACCAAATAACCTCAAAATAGGCACAAAATACCCCAAACTGAAACTAAAACCAGCCATCTGAGCAGCTAAGCAGACATCATGAATCCCAAGTACCAAATTCGTACCCAGTTCATTGGAGACCCCACTTGGATCTCACCGTCTATTCATTCCCGTTTTACACACAGTTCTAACAAACCGAATCTCAGCCCGAGGAAGATCAGAAACAAAGAGATAGTGCAAATAGCAGGGCGGCCGCTATTTTCCACAACGGCAGCAGCAACGCCTCCTGCAGCAGATGAGGTGAGGTTAGACAGGCAGAGCAACTTGATTCTGAATCATCATCAGGGCTGACTCAGATCGAGTTTCTCTTCCTAGGAAACCATGGATTTGTCATGTATAAGTTACACGATCTTATGATGATTCTTCATCTTGCTGAACTATGGGTTTTTGTTTGTTTTGTAAGCTGAAGAGGTGGGCAAATTATTTTCTGACATTTTACAAAGAGATTTTCACAAAATGATGAAAATAATGAAGTGGTGGACAAATCTCATTTATCTGAAAACTTCATAAATGTGAAATTCTTTGACCACATGCCAGAGGAGGTATGGTTTCCCCAGGCTTCCATCGGAATATGTGAGTTCAAAGGTTCCAGCAGAGTTCCAGCCTTTTGTGCAAGCTCTGGGTTCCAGCCATCTCGAGAGGAAGCTCTGCCCTGCTCTCTGCTCCCCTTGGCTGTCCCATCCCTCTGCTTACTGTGGGGCCAATAACTCTTCCCCTTGAGCTGCTCTGCCGTTCCTTATGCTCTTAACTGAGGGGCAGCAGCCTCTTTTCCCCTCCATTTAACCCAGTTAGGGTGTAATATATTTTTTTAAGAAGACAGACTCTGGCCGGGCACGGTGGCTCATGCCTGTAATCCCAGCACTTTGGGAGGTCAAGGCAGGTGGATCACAAGGTCAGGAGTTCGAGACCAGCCTGGACAATATGGTGAAACCCTGTCTCTACTAATAATACAAAAATTAGCCAGGCATGGTGGCACACGCCTGTAGTCCTAGCTACTCGGGAGGCTGAGGCAGAAGAATCACTTGAACCCAGGAGGCAGAGGTTGCAGTGAGCCAAAATCATGCCACTGCACTCCAGCCTAGGTGTCAGAGCGAGACTCTGTCAAAAAAAAAAAGAGAAAGAGATTGAGAGAGAGAGAGAGGCTCTAGCTTTGTTGCCCAGGCTGGTTTCAAACTCCTAGTCTCAAGTGATTTTCCCTCCTCGGCCTCCCAAAGCACTGGGATTACAGGTGTGGGCCACTGTGCCCAGTAGGGTGCAGCTTTTGTATAGGTAGTTTCTAGATAACACAGATGGTAGCAAACATGTAGGTCTCTCAAAGAGAAAGCAAATCCTGGAATCGCCCCAAACACAGAGTTGATCTAAGGTCTCTCCATGCGTGAGCATGGCCTCTGCCTGGTCCCCTCTCTTTCACTCACTCCAGGCAGCTTTGCTTTCTGGATGGGGAGGAACCCTCCACCATGACTGAAGCCCCTGCCCAGAGCCCCCATGGCTCCTCCCTCAGTGCGGTTCCAGGTGCCTTCAGCAATTCTGGGGTTGACACTCCCACCAAAGTGAAGGCTCCCCAACTGAACACCATGCTCCCAGTCCCCAGGCACACCCCCCCGGCCCCTGCATAGCCACTCCTGCTGCCCAGGTGAAGCCAGTTTTTTAGGTGGGCACAGCCCATTGTCAGCTCCTGTTGACCTTGTCAACAAAGCCACCGGAGTCAGCGGTGGCTACTCTCATCTGCCCATCGCCAGCCTAAGGACAAAGGGCAAGGCCTGGGAAGGTGCCCAAAGACATGTCTGGATAACAGAGATAGAGGCCAGAGAACGCCCAAGGGCAGGCAGGACATCAGAAGGCCATCATATCCACCTTCTTAGCTTACAGATAAGAAAACCAAAGTGCAGGCAGATGAAGGGACTTTTCTGAAAGTCATCCGAATTAATGAGTGAGAGAGCTGGAGCCCGATCTGTGCCTCCCTTGCTCAAATGTTCCTCACATGCCCAAGAGGATGCTGCTTCCAGAATCTCCAGAAAAAAGACCTCGAGGCCCCCAAGAACTCACCCCGATGCAGTACCACTGATATTGTGCCTCCTCCTTGGGTCTCAGTTTCCTTACATAGAAAAAGGATGGACGAGAGGGATGGTCTATTGGGTTCCTCTCAGCTCCAACATGTAAGGGTTCCGTGACCCTCTCCCTTGCAGCCAACACCATGTTTCCAGAAAGGGGTCCCAAGTCCTGGGGCTCTGTTGTGGCTTGGGGTCCCTGCAGGGCCAGGGACCACCCCGAGGGTGTGTGTGTGCCCTGGGCTGCCCACAGCACAGGCCTGAGCCCTGTGGGTCTAAACCATCTCCGTGTGTCCATCCCTCAGCCTCTGTGTGCTCCTTATTCGTTGTCTCTTTCCTCCACAGTGTGTCTCTCTTTCCGTCTTTGTCCCCTGTGCCCTGCCGGAACCTCTCGGGGGCTGCGGGCGAAGGGCTTCTCACCATCACTGTGGCTGACTGCTCCAGCTCCGTGAGGATCCAGCCGGCCTGCTCCAGGCCCCGCCCCTCCACCTGGCACCGCAGTGGCACGTCGTCCCCCACATCCACGGAGGCGTTGGGCACCTGGACCTTCAACGTGGGCACACCTGGCCACTCAGGATGCCCGAGGGCCAAGGGGTGTTAGAGCTGAGAGTGGCCCCAGAACTCCACTGCAGGGTGCTCCTTCCCCCACCCTCCTCAATGACCCGAAGCCCGGGTCACGTCACCGGAAGCCCAGGTCACGTCACCCAGGCAGTTTCCCCCAGCCTTGCTAGTGCCCACTCCCCACGCCCTTCCTGTGCTTGCTCGGTGCCCTCTCCCCCAGGCAGGTAGCTCTCTTTCCCAGCCCCCTTATGCCACCTCCCACACCTGGCACCTACCACAGCTGGCATTGGGCATATGGGCCAGGGGCCCCAGCCCATGACATTGCAGCTTCTGTTCGCGCACTCCGCCCAGTCCCTCCTCCTCCCAGCGCTGTAGCCAGCGCAGGGCACAGGAACAGTGCAGAGGGTTCCCGGACAGGACCCTGGTGGGCGTGGGGGACACCAGCAGAGTCAGGAAACGGGGCTGAGCGGCCACAGGGGATAAGAGGGAGCAGTTAGGCAGCAGGGAGGACGGTCTACAGGTGAAAGGGAGAACACAGAGGTCTTTCTCTCTGACTCCAGTAACAGGATGTTATTCGAAGAAATAGGCCAGGCGCAGTGACTCACGCCTGTTAATCCGGCACTTGGGGAGGCCAAGGCGGCGGATGGCTTGAGCCCAGGAGTTCAAGACCAACCTGGGTACATGGCAAAACACCATCTTTACCAAAAAACAAATAATAATAATTTAAAAGTGAAAGAAATAGAATGCAGAACGTGGAAACCAGCTGATGACTGGGGGATGCATGCGCTCACTCACCCCAGGCTCCCCGGGTGACAAACCAGGCAAGGCCCTCAGCATGGTGACAAGGAGGGAAGGGCACAGCCTCCCAGAGTGACCCAGACGCCTTAAGTGCCCGCCAGGTCCACGTGGACCCCTGCTGCCCCACTCACCCTGTGCAGGGTGCCCAGGGAACATGGGCAGATGTGCCATGGACACACAGCGGGCCTTCGGTCTGCTCAGCCAGGCCCGGCACACACAGCATCAGCCATCCAGGCCAGCTCCCCAGGGCAGTGCCCCCTTAACGGGTGGTCCTGCAGCCTCTGCCTTGATTGGGGTTTCACTGGCATGCACACAGTTCCTGGAGACCCCCAGCAGTGCCACACAGACACAGTGACATGTGCCATCCCACAGAGCCAAGCACACCCAGGCACACACACCCTTGCTGCTCTTGCCCCTGGAAGTGCCCTCACTCACAGTTCCTGTAAGGGGAGGCCCCGCACGGTTTTCCAGGAGAGAGACTCCAGAGCGTTGAAGGAGAGATTCCTGCGGGCGTGGAGACACAGCAAGACAGACCCCTTACCCCTTGAGCCACCCGACCTCACTCTGACCCAGCATGAGAGAGGGGGAGCGGAGAAGGAAGTTGACATCTGGCTCTCCCTCCCCAGCCTAGGCAACCAGAACAAGCCCTGGAAGGTAGTGTGTGTGGACGGTGGGGAGACGGGGGTGAGGGGGGTGTTTCGAGTCCCGCTCCTCTCCCTGGAACAACAAGGGTTAACCCCACTTAACCCCCTCCCCAGACCCCAGGGAGGGGGATCTGAAGGATCTGAAGGAACAGCCGTTCCTCCCTCCCCCACCGCTTTGGCCCCAGCTGGCAAAGTGCTGAGGCCACAGCTGGGGGAAGGGCTCCATCTGTGCTCCCCTCCCGACAGAGCCAAGGACAGGGCCAGAGGAAGAGCGAGAGGACTGAGGCTCCCACACTCCCTTGCGCCTACCTGACCACAAGGAACTCAAACCGCTTCCTCAGGTCCCCTCCTCCTCCTCCTTTCGGCTCCTCCTCAGAGACTAAAAGGTCAGGCAGGAAAGGACCCACACCCCCAGCCCCTCTTTGTAGGGATGGAGAAAGTGAGCCCAGCAGGGCATCCGGCTCCAGACCACACAGGAAACGGAGGTAGGAGCCCCAGTGCCCTGTGCTCTGTGCCAGGCTGCCTCTGCTGGGACCCTCTGTCTCTGAGGGGCCTACCCTGACCCCTCTCCTTTCCTAGCCAACCTAGAATATGTGGTGGCTGGATTGGAGAGGTGCCATCGCACAGGGACCAAAGACACAACCCACTCTAGAGCTGGAGAGAGCGGGGTGTAAGTTCCATCCTGCCACTTACAGCTGTGTGACCTCAGTTCAGAAACTCAACCTCTCTGATCTCAGAATTCTCATCTATGAAATGGGGACAAGAACACTCTCTGTCTCACCAGGTTGACTGTGAAGAGTGTCATTGAGCACATGTTTAACTGAAGCCCAGGTATAGGTGTGATACGACATCACTTTATTTTACTTTGTTTAATTGCTGGACCTAGGAGAGTTTAGAGGACCCAGCACACGTCCATGAATGTCAGCCCCACCATCCTTCCCGTCTCTCCACCTGCGCATGTTGGGGGACAGGGGAGCTGAACTGCCACCCTCAGAAGGCCAGGGAGGAGCTGCCAGGGACTCTGATGGTCTCTCCTGCCATCCCATGACCCGCTCTGTCCTCCAGCAGGGGTGCCCAATCCCCAGAGCACAGACTGGTAATAGTGCCACTGTTCAGCCTGGGCAACAGAGGGCGACCTGACTCTCAAAAAAATAGAGAAAAAGACAGCAAGGAAGAGGGGCTATAAACAGGGTAATATGTGGTCTGTTAGGAAGCCACCGCACAGCGGGAGGTGAGCAGTGGTGAGCGCGCATTACCGACGGAGCCCCGCCTCCTGTCCAGCAGCAGCAGCATTAGATTCTCATAAGAGCGCAAACCATACGGTGAACTACTGCGCATGCGAGGGACCTAGGTTGTGGGCTCCTTTTGAGAATCTAAGTAATGCCTCATAATCTGAGGTGGAACAGTTTCATCCTGAAATCATCCTCCCCTCCCGCACCATCCGTGGTAAAATTGTCTTCCATGAAACCAGTCTCTGGTGCCAAAAAGTTTGGGGTCCATTGCTCTGCAGGAGGGATAGCTATGATCCCCAGGAATGAGGGGGATGATAGTGGCAGACCTAACACCCCAGCTCCCAGGCCGTCCTAGGGGCCAAGTCGATGCTTCCCCACCAGGGAGGGGATGGGACATGGAGTCCCAGCCAGAACCCAGGAGTCCTGCTCCTGCCGCTTGCTGCCTTTGCACTGGTGCATGTCTGAACCCTGGGGAGAGAGAGGGGGCAGGCACCTATGGGAAGTGTCCTTGCAGCATGAAGCATGAGGCATGGAAGTGAGATGGCAAGAAGGACCTCTAGCTGGCAGGGTGAGAGCAGGCCGTCCCTGAGGGAGGTGGGAGGAAGCCCCAGGAGAATGGGTGAGATGACTTCCCTGACGAACCTGGGGCCCTCCTCACAATCATTCCCTGGGGACAGCCAAGCCCATTAGCAGCCCAAGTCTGGGTGTCCTCCCCCACCCCCACGACCCAGCACTGGCCACTCACAGGCGACTGAGCCGAGGAGTGAAATGGAAGGCATCTGGCGCCACGAAACGGAGACCACTCTTCACGATGGTGCTGGGGAGGGGTGCGCGAGGATCAGCCCCCAGGTCTCGGCTCCTCTGGGTCCCTGGCTCTCCCTGCTACCCCAGCCCCCCAGGCCCCCACGCTGGACTCCTCCTCCTCCCCAGGCCCTTCATGGTTTCCTCCAAGCCCTGTGCTTCCTGACCTCTCCCGGTCCCTTAGTCCTCAGCCCCTCAGGTCCTCTCAGGCCCTCGGATCCTTGAGCCCTCCCCGACTTTCTGGTCCCCTTTCCTGGGCCCATGCTAAGCTCCACACCCACAGTCCCCATTTCCCTCACAGGTTTCTCAGCTCCCCCAGGCCCCTCAGGTCACGGAGCTCCAGATGCTGCAGATGCTGCTGGTTCTCGATGTAGCTGTGGGGAGAAGGGATAGGAGTCACAGGGCTCAGGCCCACACTTGAGTTCTCACGCCCTCCTGCCTGCCTCCCTCACAGTACACGTGCACGTGTGCACACACACCTCACAGGTACACACATGTGCACCTGTTCAGACCTGCATACACACTTACACGGGCATGCACGCACAAATGCATGCATGTGCACAGAGACGCACCTCAAGTCACACATGCACATGTGTGTCAATGAACACACACACACACATGCACGGATTCCCCACACCCTCACACATATGCACTCTCACATACCTCTTGCACACACGCACACACACAGAGGCATAAGCATCTGCACGGATGACGCTCAGGAACGCGCTCACACAGGGACACACAGAAACAAAGCTGGCATACATCTCCCACACGCACACACACAAGTCCATTCTCAGGTCGGCGTTCTGCTTTTACAGCAGGTGTCCCCGGCACACGCTCACCAATGGAGGTCATGCTGAAACACTTGCTTCCACAAAGGGCCGAGGCTCATCCCTGCCACTGCCCCACCCAGCACAGACGAAGCCTGTGCTCATGCAAATGTGTGTTCCCAAACATGCCCAGGCTCACCTATACTGCTACACACACACACACACACACACACACACACACACACACACCAGCATCTGTGCACCCCCATAGCCTCTGACCCCTCTCCACACCTGAGCAGCAACCCCTACTCCACCCAAACCTCCCCCACCGTCTTTTCAGCAGCTCAAGCAAGAGGCTTAGAGGCTATCCATCAGGGACCCCAAGGAGGGACCCAGGAAGAGGAGAGGGACAATGAGAGGATGCAGTCAGTGTTGGGGTGGGGAGAAAAGGCACAGACTGGCTGACTCCCACAGCACGAGAGAGAGAGAGAAAGATGGAGAGCCACAACGAGGAGGGGGGGCAGAAGGGCAGAAAAACAAAGAGAGAGTGAAACAGAGACACTGAAAGGGAAACTGACAGGAAGAGACTGTCAGAGAGATAGCGACAGGCAAGAAAGAAGACAGATGAGGGAAGGGAGACAGAGAGACAGAGAGATAAGGACAGAGAGGCACCGAAAGCAAGACAGGGAGACAAGAAAGAAAGAGGAAGGAGCAGGCATTCGGAGCTGGGGGACAGCTGACACCCTGGGCCCTGCCTCGCTGCTGGATCTGACGTACCAGGGAGTTCCTGAGAACTCGGCTGCCCTGCAGTGGCATGTTAGTGTGCCCCCGCCAACAATACACATGCCAGGGGCCCCTGACTCACTGCCGGTTCTCAGAACTCTCTCCCTCTACCCTCTAACTTTCCCTAACTTGTAGGAAGCAGGACCAGCCTGAGTGACCCTCCCTTCCTCCTTTCCTCCCTTCCCAGCCTTGGCCCCAGCAGGACAGCAGGATCAGGTCCTAAGTCTCCCCACGGACTTAGTGGAAGCCTAGAAAGTAACCTCCACTGACTCCAAGGGAGGGCAGGCTCCTATTCAACCACCCCCAGCCCCTGCCCAGAGGGTTTCAAGCTGGAGGGACCCAGGGAGGGGGCAAGAATGCAGTGGGCTAGCAGGGTGTGTGCGAGCTGTCAGGCCAGCATGCTCAAAGCTGGCTCAAAGCTGCCTCAAAGCTGCCTCATTCGTTTGGATTCATAATCAATCTGTCTATTCGAGTCCATTATCTGCTCGTTAGCTCTGCGGGTGAGGGAGGAGGGGGGGGACTGTGGAGGCAGTGGGGAGGGGGTGTCAGGCTGCAGCCCCACCCAGGGGGACATCTCAGCTCATGCCTGCGGACTGCACACCACCTAGTCCCCAGCCCTGACCTGTCCACTCCCCCTACCACTCCCATCCCTACCCTGCCAGACCCACTTGGGGTTTGGAAGGAGTTGGGAAATGTGAGCCCTGATGGGGAGCACTCAGGAGTCTGGACCCCAGTCTGAAGGCCCAGGGTGATGAGAGAACTGGACTAGGACTGGCAGACCATATCTCATGCCCCCTCCCACCATGCAGAGACCTCAGCCAGACCAAGACCAGGCCATCTCCTCTACTCCTAGTCTCCCTAGAGCCATTAGGGAAATTGAGTACCTTCCCGTTAATTACCATGAGATAACCCGAGTAACTCAGTGCCAATTATTGCAAGCTGCTCAAGAAACTTCCAGGCAGCGATGGGCTCCACCTAAGATAGCTTCCAGTCCATCACCGCACGAGGCTAGGGTTCCTTGTCCACCTTTTAAACCCCAGGCCACAGGAGGAGAATTTTCTAGCAGTTCCTCCCCTCTTCTAGATGTCTCGCTGGCCACGATGGCCGTAAGTAATACTCAAGTATTTTCCAGCCATCACCATGTGATGCCTGAGTACCTCCAGGCCAATCATTACCGCATGCTCCCGTAGGTTTCACCAGCTGCTAAAAAGTACTTGAGTATTTTGTAACCAATTCCTGCAGAATGTCAGAATCCTGCAGAATGCTGAAGCTTCCTCCCAGTGTCATGCCCCAGAGGGAGGAGGGTCTCTCAGCAAGGACCCTGACTCCCCACCCTAGGTAGAGAGTCGCAATTGGAGAGGGAGATGGGAGTAGGGAGAGAGAATCCAGGAGGGGGTCCCATTTCCCAGATCCAAATCAAGGGGTCCTGGGACAAGGAATGGTAAAGATGCAAAGCGGAGAGCTCAACCACCCAGCTACGCTCCTCAGCACCTCCCACCGATGCCAGCTCAATCACCAATTCCAGGAGAAAAGCTGGGGTTGCCTCATCATAACAAGGAAGTGGGTGGGGGCTGGCAGTAAGGGTGTCAAACTGGGGACTTTTCCGCACCACCCTTCTCTAGTGGGACAGGGCAGGGGCTCCTGGCAGAGCTCCAGAAAGTGGCTTCTAGACGGCTGGGCTCTTTCAGACCTGGTCCACGGAGATTCCCCACTCGATCTCCCTGAAGCCGGCTGCCCAGCTGCCCTGAACACTAGGAAACACCCAGGCTGTCACCATAAAGCTTGCTAGGGCAGCGGCGGCTGCGGAGGAACGCCAGGGCACCTCCGAAGGCTGCGTGGTGCCAGCCCTCCACCGTGATCGCCTTGCCTGACCCAGCAAACAAGCAGCGAGTTAGCGCCCTCGGGGCACGGCAATGCCTGCCTGTCCCCGAGCCCCCTCGCCCGCCGAACACTCACAGCTCAGTCAGGTTCTCTGCGCCAGGCAGGTGGTGGAGGCTATCCAGGGCCCCATCCCGGGTGCATCGCAGTCCCGAGGGACCGTGGGGGCAGCAGGCATCGGGGCAGGGTGCGGCGCCTGCAGATGCCAACATCAGCCAAGCCAGCAGGCTGCTCGGCCCCGCAGCCCAGCAGTGCCAGCCGAGCTGCCCGCGCCGTCCGCCTCGCAGCATCGCGGCGGCGCCCGCCTCGCTCTGGCGGGGCAGCCGTCTGTGCGCTCGCAGCTGCAGCTGCCGGGCCTCCCCCGACATGTGCGAGGAGCGGTGTTAAAGACCCAGCCGCCAGGAAAGGGCGGAGCCAGAGGCCCCCGCCCGTCCCCGCCCCGCCCCTTGTCTCCACCCCCTTTCCGCCCCTCTGATGCCCCCAACTCCGTCCCCTCCCCTGTTAGGGGCCCCCAGCGTCAACCTTCTCCCCGAGGATGCCCCCAGCTCCGGGAGATGCGGAGGGGCTGCTGCAGAACGCCTGGGAGGTGTCTGCTGAGGCTGGGAGTGGGAAATTGATAACGTTATTTCTCCCGGCTTAAAGCAGCTGCATTTTTACATTTGGAGAGGCGGGGAGATGACTGAGTTAGTGAAGGTTGCCGTCCAGGTCATCCTAGCCAGCCCCAGCCTCGGCGCTCCATCCTCACGGCGCAAGTGCCTGGGGGAGTGCGCATATCACCTGGAGTAAGTTAGGTAGAACACTCCGAACCCTAGGAAGAAAAGGAAAAGGGTTATAAAAGGATCAATTGCAGAACCTGGAAGGAGGACACAGACCGGCCAGAGAAAGGGAAGGGGTCGCCTAATTCGGCCGAAGATAGTCGAGAGAGCCAAGACCGCGCCTTCAAGAGAGGCCACAGGGTGGCGCGAGAAGGCCGCACGCAAAGGCGCAAGCTCCCCGCCCGGGCCGGGTGGCTGGGGGCGCGATCTGCAACCCCCAATGCGCAACGCTTCGGGTCCCAGCTTCAGTCCCTGACCCTGGCCAGTCACTGCTGGCCCCGGAGCAGGACAGGGCTGACATGGATCGCCTCCCTGACAAGAGCATCGATTTATTCGTGAAGAAATTAATAGATCTTCTCTTAGCTCCTCGGACGCAGGAGCCGCCCGCGTGTGGAACTGAGGACCCGTCGGCCCCTGGAGGCCGCGCACCTGGAAAGCCCCGGGAACTCCAGCATCCAGGGCAGCAGAAGGCTGGTCCCAACCCCTCCCACCGCGCCAGCCTCTGTGGCTGCACGAGCCCATCCGTCTCGAGCTGGGGACAGCAAGGGGGAGAGGGGTCTGTTTTGGCGGGGGGATAGGTAAGGCTCCAGGGAGCAAGCGAAGGACAGCCTCCTAGAGGGTCACGGTTCTCCTCTCTGCCAAGGCCCCAGCACGGACGTCTCCCGCCCCCCAAATTCCCAAGACGGGGACACACAGACGGACGGAGAAGCCTGAGCTCAAGAAAGTGATTAGACGGAGGCAGAGCCCCACACGGTGATCGCCCTCTTCATCGGGATCTTGGTCAGAACCAAGGGACTAGTCGGTGAGGGAGCCTGGCACTAAGGGGTCTCCAAAGAGGACAGGGCGGCCTTCTCGGAGGCTGAGAGAGGCTCCGAGAGGCCACCGGCTGTCCAGGTTCTCCCGGGTCAAGGCTGCCAGAAGTTACCCCGCAGATGTCAAGGCACCGGGGAGCAGAATCTAGACACAGCGCTCCCCAGAAGCCCGGGCGCTGGCTGACCCTCTGGCCGTGCAGCCCACTTGGAAGAAGCCTACGGTGGGACCAAGCGGTTGGGGGGACCAGTCGCAACCGCAGCAGAGTTTGGGGACGCTCAGTTCTTGACCCACCCTCCCCCTGTATTTTGGCCTTATTTCCCCAACAGATCTCTTCTCCCCTCAGTTGTCAGGCTAAATATTTTGGCTTGGCTGGAGGGGCGGAGAGAACTGAGAGATCCCTGTGAACCAATCTGTTTCGGCGAGGGGCAGGGAGGGCGGGGGTTGGGCGCGGGCTGGGCGCGGCCCCTGCGTGCCCGCCCTGGGAGAGACCGCAGCCAGCGAGGTCAGCCAGCGCTGAGGGGCCGCGCGCCCAGAAGGATCCAGGGACTCTCCCTGTGGAGTCCTATGCTGCCCTCCTTGGGAGCGTCCCCAGCCTTCTGCTCCGCCCTCAGGGTTGGCCGGCCTCTTGGCCTGCCTTTTGCTCAGAACCCTGTGTCATTTTCTGCCTCTGGAGGCCTGAGACTCTGCCCGTCACTGTCTGCATCTCTGTCCCCATCTCTCAGTCTCATGCTGAGCCTCTCTGTCTCCACCTGCCTGTCACTCTCTTTGTGTCTCTGTGACTCTCATTCCTTGTTTTCTGTCTCCTGCTGCGTGGAATTCCTTGCCTCTGCCCCTGCCCCCTCCGTCTCCTATCTGAACCCTGGTCTCTGTGTCCCTTAGGGCTTGTCAAACCCTTCTCCCCAGAGCCACCAGAAGAGCCGGGACTGGACACAAGCCAAGACTGGGACAATGGCAGTGCCCGGTCTGTGGCCCTGGGGAGCATGCCTGCCTGCGATCGTACTCTCCTTGGGACTTGGCCTGGATACACTAGAAGGTGAGTCCCCAGAACTGGCTCCCAGACCCCTACCTCTCTCCCAGCCAGCTGGGAAGCCAGACGACTGGGCTTGCAGCCACGGCACATCCTCTTACTCTGCACTGGACCACAGAGGCTGCGGTAAGCTCTCAGGAGAACTGCCCAGCAGGAGAAGCAGTGAGTTCCCTGCATAAAGGTGTTTTTCCCTCAGCTCCCTCAGAGGGGAGAAGGGCTTCAAAACGGGGACGAATAGATATCTTCCATCCCTACTAGTGAAACTGCGATCCCAGTAAAGCTTGCCTAAAAACCAAAATGAGGCTGTGAGTGTTAGAAGTCCTCTCTGGGGCCATGGAATGGGAAGAGGCGGAGTGGGACAGGGAGCTGAGGACCAGGCACCAAGAAATAATGGAGGCAATGCTGCAGACAGGAGGCTGTGCTCAGAGGACTAAGGGTGAAGCTAGACTGGGTCCTGAGCACCAGCCTCCAGGGCCCTGGCCTGTTGTCCTGTGTGTCGCCCCCCCTCCTTAGGGTCCAATCACTACCAGGAGAAAGGCTGGTTCTGGGGGAAGATTGCTTTTCCTCAACTGCTTTTCCCAGGGCCTGTCCCCCGGGCTAAATACTGCCCATGAATAGGTTTTGGAGTATGGGGATGAGGCCAGGTGCTGTGGCTCATGTCTGTAATCCCAGCACTTTGGGAGGCTGAGGCGGGCGGATCACATGGTCAGGAATTCAAGACCGCCTGGCCAAGATAGTGAAACCCCATCTCTAGTAAAAATACAAAAAAAAAAAAAAAAAAAAAAAAAGCTGGGCGTGGTGGCAGGCACCTGTACTCCCAGCTACTCAGGAGGCTGAGGCAGAGAATTGCTTGAACCTGGCAGGGGGGAGGTTGCAGTAAGCCAAAATCACGCCACTGCACCCCAGCCTGGGCAACAGAGCAAGACGCCATCTCAAAAAAAAAAAAAAAAAAAGAGAGAGAGAGAGAGAGAGAGAGAGAGAGAGATGGAGAGTATGGGGGTGTAGGGGTGTCAGGAACTATATAGGCTAAATGACCCTCATAGAGGTGCCAGGGCCCTCCCTGATGGAAAGACGAAAAAGAGCTGAGGGTGGAAGCTTCAAAAAGGGAAAGATTAAGGGGTATCCCCTTCCCCAGTCCCACCATTCCCCTCCAGACTGAGCCAGCTCAGGAATCCAGCATTCGGTGCCTGCCCAAGGGGTCCTGTGATGCCCCTCAGACTGGGGGCTTCCAGAATTAGGGGAGTCTCCTCTTCCTATGGAGACAGCAGAGTGATGCAATGGGCTCGGTAGGAGGTCCCCTGAAGGGTGCTAGTCACTGAGCCTCTGTCTGTAAGGCACAGCAGCACTTCCCCAGCCACTGAGCCCCCTCCTGTCCTGCACAGCAGATGCCAGCTGGCAGTGTGGTTGTCAGGACAAGAGCACGTCCTTGGAGGGGTTAGTATTTGTTCAGGGGACCCAGATGTTCCATTCCCAGTGCAACTCTGCACAGAACCAGGTCCTGAGGGAAGGCAGGGGTTAATCTGCGAAGGTTTTAGATTTGTTTTTCCAAATGACTCCCATCAGGGGAGCCCTGTAGAGGCAGGGGCATGATGGGAAGTGGGCGCCTGAGAGAACCCCCATCTGCCTTGCAGAGCCTGATTGGCTTTCGCCTGGAAGGGAAAGAAGTGTTTTCTCATTCTCTCTCCCTCTATTTTGTGTGTGTGTACCTGCATGGGCTCAGAAACACACACACACACACACACACACACACACACACACACACACAGCTGCTGGGCAGAGCCAAGCTCAGGACCATTAATGACAACTGGAAGAAGATGTGAAGTCACCCCCAGGGAGCCAGCCTGGCCTGCCTACCTCTCTTAACAAACTATCAGGAATGGGGCTTCTTGCTGTGTTGTGTTTGTGATAACCTGGAGGGCTCGGAAGGGAAGTAGAGGCTGGAGACATTAGCAGGAGCTGAATATCAGGCTGAAACATTCAGACTTGAATCTTCCGCAGTGGGGAGTCATAGAAGGTCCTCTTGGGAGCAAGTGAGTCCAGGCATCCAGCCCCCTTAGGGGTCTGGGGAGAAAAAGGGAATGGGGCTTGGGCCCTGGTAAAGAAGCCAAACACACCCAGGTCCCCAAGGAAGGAGCAGGCTTGGGATCCAGACAACCACTGTCCATGGTTCCTGAGTTCCCAGTGGTTCCAGCCCTGAACTGGGCACAACTGGGGGAATGCAGGGCTGACTGACAAGGGTCCCACCCTCTTTGGAGGGGATGGCAGAGATGTATACAACAATTTTGGAGCAATGCCCTCAGGTAATCTGGTGTAGGCACTGGACTAAGCGTAGCTGAGCCTGAAGGGGAAGTGACTAACTCCGGGCCAGAGGGTCAGGGAAGGAAGGTCTGACCCGAGATTTGCAGGACAAGGCCTGAAGGACCCTTCTGAGCCCGGAGGCATAAGTAAGGAATGGTTCACCTACACCCTGAGATGTCAGGCTGAGGAACTGAAACTTGATTCTTTAACAATGGGGAGCCCTGAAACGCTCCTTCATGAGTAATCAAATTCAGGGAACAGGCATCTAACTCCCTTAGGACTGAGAGAGACACGGGATCTATGTAGCTCAGACCACTGCTCTCATTCATTCACTCATCAAATTTTTATTGAGTGCCAATTTTGTGCCAGGCACTATACCAGTCACTAGGGTACAACGTGAATTAGACAAATATCCGTGCCCTTATGGAGCTTACAATAAACAAAATAAATATATTTA